GCGGTGCTCATCTCCGTTTCCAAGCCGAAGAGCCAGCGCTGTCCGAAGACGTCTCCGTGGTCATGTGGCCGGCGTGACTCGATGCCGAGGCGCACGGAACGCTGTGACCTTCCCCACCGAAGCGGTCCCTATTTATCTACTTGCAATTTCTTGCTTTCAAACTGCGAGGTTGGCAGGAGCTGGGGCCAGGGACGGGAGCTCACTCCGTCACGCGGCACTCGGGTCTCGAACTGCCGAACAACTGACCTTCCAGCCTGCAGTTCAGCGTCTTAACCACTTGAGCCACCGCAGTATTGTAACCTTATGTTACAATACTCCAAATATTTCAGAATATCATCAGCTTATTCTACTGGAACCAATGAGGTTTATAAATAGTGGGTTTCAGGATTTCAACATAGACCAGCACCCACTGCTGCTAATGAAATCTAGATAATTATTGTACCTATCAATAATGCCCTTTGACGCTCTGATCTGGACAGCCCAGGCGAGCCCAATCTCATCAGATATCAAAAGCTTAAGCAGGGTCAACTCTGGCAAGTCCTTGGACGGGAGACCTCCTTGGAATACCAGAGGTGGGAGGCGGGGGCAGGCTTTATTCAGCCACCTCTCTGAATATCCTCCAGGCCCCCAATTGGGGTCAGTCACCAGAGGTCGCCATGACTTCCAAGTGCACAAACATTCACACGAACACACATGGAAAATACCAAAAAAAAAAATACTGCCCTTTGACCTTTCCTACTCTATTGTAAAATGGTGCCTCTAATGTGTTTTTTTCTGTGTTGCCTTTTGTTCAGAGGTCTGCACATGATTGTAGGCGGCGTAAAGCCAGTGATCAACCGTCCAGCAACAGCCAGAACACTGAAAGCAGCTGTTCGACACCAGAATCTGTGCAGGAACTGTCAGATGATGATGGTATTTTGAATTTCATCCTGTGATAAGTTGGGGTTACATTTCATAATCTCATAATTCACACTGGCCCGCCCGGCAGGGCTCTTTTTGTAGCAGGAACTATTTTGCATATTAGACCACACACCCTAATGTAGCCAATCCTCCAAGAGCTTACAGAGCTCTTCTTACAGGAGCTACTGTAAACTCTTGGAGGATTGGCTACATTAGAGGTGTGTCACTTAATATGCAAATGAGTACCTGCTACAAAAAGAGCCCTGCGAGTTACAACTGAACATTTGTGAAATCACATAGGCATAACATCCAAAGGAATTGGTCTCCTCTACAGTTGGGGAATGACAAGATTGGAATAATTTATCTCGTTTTAAAAGTATTAAAATAGGATAAATTGTTCAATTCTAGCCATTTGAAACTCATGGTAATGCTTGGCGTCATGATTTGATGCTGTGTTGTTTCCTGACAATAAAAGATACAAGTGGGCAAGGGGGATATCTCTCATTGAGGACTGTAGCTGCATTTTCATGTCATGGTATATGACGATTTGCATAACAAACTCTGGTTAGTCTACTAGACATAAGTAACAAAATCCTAATTTTCTCTACTTCTTGTTTCTCTCTGCTTGGTGCAGAGAAGATACCTTCCCTATACTGTCAGGTAGCCATAAGGGATGATGCTTTTTGTGAATTTAGATTTCACAGCAAGCCACACAACTGGCATAAACTAAGGTTAGCAAACCAGAAGAAAACCCTAGGTTTAAATCCAGATTTACCTGAGTCA